ATTTTTTTGCGATTACTATAACTTACCCTACGGGAAGTTAATAATATCGCCTCCTCCTAGTTTTGATATTCTGTTTTATTACTATCAACAAGCTTATCTACTAGTATTTATAGATATATTATATTTAGCTAAATTTATGTTTATCGGAATTTAATTTTAATTCAAGCTAAAATTCTGAGGTTCACTTGTATACTTAAAATAAATAATTTTAACTTCATATTTCAATTCTTAGAATTATGAGATACATTCCTTCATTCTAAGTTTTGTTTGTAAGCTCTTATATTTCTCTATAAAATACAAATGATGAAATTTAAAGTACTTATAATAATCTTGGAAATGATTTAATATTCCTCCAATATTTCATTACGGTACGGGAAGTTCCAGCAATTTTCCTTAATTCACGATGCCATGCACTGATAATTTTTTTATAATAGGAAGTTGAGGCTAATTGCAAATCCAATGGCCAATGCCATTCGACTTCTATTATGCCAAACGGTTGGATAATATCACCTTGTTCGATTCACATGTGACTCAAGTTGTTTTATTTTCCAGCAACTTCTTTAATATCATTTATTTTGTAAACAAAAAATATATAATTTCCTGAACACGTAGTCATAATCTGAAGAATAATTCTTGGAAATTAAAAAACTGTTCAATAGTTATCAGACGAAGCTTATGTTGCCACTCACTAGAAATGGATTGGATAGGGATCAAATTATCCGTTTCATAATATGTAATTTAGAATGCGTTTTCATTTTCACAAAGAAAGGATTCTGTAATATCATTTTTACGGTGATATTAAATCTATTTTCAATAATAAAAAATTGCAGAAGAACTTCTTTCCAGTTTGCAGCAAATTGGCTTGCACTGTTTCATGAGTAGTCAACAGAGCTGTATTATGATTTAAATTAACTTAATTTTCAATTATAAATTAGTTTTCAACTTTTGTGGATTATTGTGTAAAAAAGCGAAGTATTGTCTTTATTCATATGAAGATCAAGTCCAATTGCTCTTTTTTTAAAATGCATTTTATCGAAATTACCACTTATGCCTATTTTAGGTTTCTAATACACAAGTCCACATTGTAATTAAATGATTAATTCCATCATTAGATCAGATGTATCTTCGCTTGAATTTTTCCCTTTCGATTTATCAATTGTTTACACCTTTATGTGTAATTCAACCTTCTATTTCCTGGCTACCAGGTGTAGTGCCATGGGCTTTACTCAAAACAAAATACTTGTTTTATCGCAAGCCCAATATGATACCGTGGAAAGAAGTACATTTAGTATAAACATTAACATAAGTTTAAAACGATATGTCATTAAAAATAATGACAAATTTTATGATGTTGTTACAATCATAAATGTATATATAAATTTGATCTAAGCGTAAATGTAATTTGATACTTGCGGAATATACCACACCTCAAAAGATTGCAAAAATTGTTAGAGATAAGATGTCGTTGAGAAATATTTCAGAAATTTATATTACTTGGTTGATAAATGTGTCATTATCTTTGAAGCAAACTTTCGAAAATACTTGTAGACATATTTAACATGTGATACATGTAGAACCAAAATAGTAAATGATACAAATCGTTTTTATTTATCTTAGTGATCAAAATTATATTTTCATAATGATAATTTTCAAAACACTATAGTGAAAATTTAAATTTAAAGTCAATGTTACCTCTATCCAGATGTCATAAAGCGTCATTTTTTATTTCTTCATCAAATTTACCACATGGGGCGTTCATTAATCAAGTGAGCGATTTTTTTATGGATTTTTGGAACCCCATCTCAACATTGATGATACATGGTGAAAATTAAAATTACCCGCGTCCACCAAACATCACGTGTATTTTGAGCAACTTAAAAGTATTCGAACGAAATTTGGAAATTATGAAAAAATCCTAATATATTTTTATTTTTTGAAAATTCAGGTAAAGAATAAATACACGTGATATCTTACTAGGCCCCACCCTTCGCCATGTGATATTTTGTGATTTTTTGTCAAACCTCCCTCCTTCTAGAAGCCTCACGTGATTAAAGGACACCCGCTCAATAAAAAATATTAGCAAAAGGTATCCATAAATTTTCTACAAAACTTGAAAATCTATAATGCATATCATACTAAATTTATAAATTAAATTGTTTTTGAAATCATTTCATTAATTATTGGGAGATTTTTTATAAAGATGCACTTTTTTATTTTATTTTATTTGGCCTCTTATTTACAAACTAGCCATATACAAAATTTCCTACAATAAAGATGCATTTATTGTAGAGTGCGTGTATATTTTGAATGTTTTTAGATATGTGAACAGCACACATACTTTGTGTACGTTGTTTTTCTAAAAAAGTGTAATAGAACATTATTAAATTTAATCAATGCAATCTATAAATCGGATGAATGTTTTTTCTTACTATAATCAGAATCGAATTACTGAAGAGTTTCGTCAAGTGTTAATAAAAATTCTATTGATATCTGCGAATTTCAGAACTATATATGTTCTATGAGCTATTGCAATGTAAATTCTTAGCCTAGTGTAACTTGAGCTACTACAACCTACAACCCAGATTTTTATCTTATACTGTTGAGATATACGATATATTGCAGAAATGTCCCCAATAGGCTATTTTCACTTAGCATCAAGTGGAAATCTGACATCATTACTGCTTGATATCAAGCTGTCTCAGATTAAATGACTTGGTATCGCACATTTAAAATGAAAGTTGATGAACTGTTTCTTAATCTATCAGTTCAGATATCCTGGAAAAACTGGGAAGTTAAAATTGGCAGACACAGACTTATCCTTTTCTTTTGAATTTGAATTTTGAATTTTCTATATGCTATCATCTACTCATCTGGATATAAAAAATACTATGTTATCGAATTTAATATTTTGGTAAGTTTTCTACTTACTTACTCACGTGAAACGTTCAATAAAAGTTTTTATTCAACGAATATCAATATTTCTATTTAATCACTATTTTAACCATTGACGAAATTACTTCCTGAGCAACCCAACAGTTTTTATCTAAACATGTAGAATGTTAATTAAGCCTAAGTCTCTATGGGCTTGCCTAACTTTCAGGTCACATTTCAAATTTTTTAACATTTTACCAAATAATATTTTTAATATTTTACCTTCGTGAGATGACGCAAAATCTTAATTCTACAACGTTGTAAAGACAACCAATATCAATATTTATGATCTTTGCTAGGCTTTTCAGCCTGAAATTTTGATAGCCAGAATTGCGAACATTAGGGCTGCTGTGACTTAAGTCACATAATTCATCAATAACAAAAAATATGTTCAAACTGAATTTTATATTTCCGATTTGAATATATAGGTTTATATTACTTATTATTTGTATCTTTTTTTGGATGTTAAACAAAAATTCAGCTCATAGAGGATTAACTTAATCATTAAATTTATAAAAAGGAAATTGAAATTTAAACTTTTTCAAATATAATATTTATCGAAGCCGGTGTCGAGATCATCACATAATATTTATCTAGCAAGGCATTAAAATTTTATTTCATCTAGTTCAGGCAGGAAAAGGCCATGGCAATCCAATAACAATTGCAAAAATTTGTTAAACCGACATTCTTTCGATCGACATTAGTATTTCAATAAAAACTGAACGAATGATACGGATATTTCGTTTTGTACGTAAGAAAGTTCATACATCTTTAGGTTGGAACGTAATTTTATCTCAATTTTGAAGTGGGCGAATAGGAAGCGGAGTTATTAGATTCATTATATTGAAAATGTCATATGACGCACAAACAGAGACCATTTCAAAAACATTTCTATTTAAAGATGATATCCTTTTTAATGATGATTAAAAATAAACTTGTTATCCTCGATCCAAATTTGATCCAATACCGCTTTATTGTTAATATTATATGTTATTGAGTACGTATTATTGAGTACGTTATGGCATCGATATCAAGTATTTGAAATTCGCAAATATATATCATAAATGTTTTGCTTTAGCTATTGTATTGTATTAGTGCTTCATACCAAACTATTGTCATAACAGACGTCGGTTTTTAAAATAACAAAAATGATATGGACGATGGAGAATTCGATTGCTAATCCACTAATAACTATGGCCGACTGTACGCGATAGTGCTTGTGTTTTGAAGATATAATTTTAATTAAATTCTGCCAAAGAACAACATTTTTGTTTCTACAATCAACGCGTTTATGCATTATGGTAATATAAAAAATCTTGCACTCCACTTTTGGTCTTCTAACGTGATGTGTTAATTGCAATAAATTCCGTGACTGAAGTTGTTATTTATTAATAGTGATTATTGATTTTAAAATCGTATTTTGAATTGATATTACTAGTGCAAGGACAATGTTTATTATGGGCTATTGAATTATTTGTGTTATGTTTATGCTAATGTTTCTGTTTTACCGTTTATAGAGCATGCATATCTAATTAAATTTTAACGAAAATTATATTTTATGCTACAAATATTGGTCATTTAGTGCGTATGTTATATATAATTAATTCTTAGCTCATTACTTGATGGAATTATAAATCAATCATATCATTGTTAGCAAAACCTACAACATTGTGATGTGGTTTTCATTCGAGGATATGGTGCGTTAGTTAAGATGCGCCAATAGAATGATTGTATTGGCGAACGTGTTGATGGAACAGATTTCAAAATTTTTCCTTATTGTGTTAGATTTATTTTAATGATCACAATGTTCTGTGGTTCCATTTTACTCAATGGACTAAGCGGAGCCACTTCATTATGCACTTTGTATCAGCGTTATTTGTTATAAAATTTATATACTGAAATTATAATAATTTTAATACGCAATCAATATTTAATACAAATTTAATATACTATTTACTTAATAATTAAAAAAAACTTTACATAAATATTAGTTAAATAACCAATGAAGCAGTTTAAAACTCTTAGATCCCTCCGAAATTAGATGTTTTTATCACAACCAGTAATTTGAGTTGCCACAATTATATTATTTCTTTTCCAGGCCTTAACTTCCACGAAAACCGAACCACCATCTTCCTGTTCAACTCCCTCTTCCACGACGACAGAGCAGCAGCAAAGTAATCAACTACTGCAGCAGCTGAAGCAAGAGCCTCTAACGTCACCGGCTTCTGGGGCAGACTGTACAAATTCCAGTGTAGCCGGTGGCGATGAAGACGATGAGTTTGTAGATTTAGAACAGTGTGCTGCAGCTCTCGAGAAAGACGCTGCGGCAAATGGGGCTGCTGGCGGCGGTGGTTTTCCACGATTTGAGTTTTATGGTGCAGATCAAGCCATGTCTACTGAGCAATTGAATAATTTGCTTTCGGAATTGTCTGATATGCAAGGATTTGATTTTCCCGAACAGCAGTCACCGCAGCAGCAGCATCAGCAAAGAGTTGAGGATGAAAAACCATCACCGGCTATGTTGATGCAGCAGCAACAGCAAAATTCGACGGGTAAAATATAATATAAAATACTTATTAAAATAATTAAAATAATGCATATAGTTTTCATTAATTTAAATATTTGTCTTTTGCAGGTGGTAGGACGCCTAACTTCCATATGGACTTCCCTAAACCTGAATTATCACCTGCTGCACAAACCTTGAAGCATATGGCTGAACAACATCAGCACAAAAATAACCAGTATAATAGAGGTCCTTACGGTACGGATTTTGGAAATTATCAGCAACAAAATCCAGGACAACAGGTGAGAAATTTAAAAATAGTAAATTATATAAATAATATAATTATTTGTCTATTGATTACGAACTCATTCTGAATTCGTAATATTCAAAATAAGTTTATAAAGTGAAGAAAAATATTTTTGTTTTTAACATTCATACAATATTAACAATATTCTTGGTTTATTTTATAGCAGGTGAAACAAGAACTCCTCTTCCCGCAACAGTCTTCTAAACAGCAGCAACAACAGTATTCTCCTTACGGATCACCAGGTCCAATGCCCGGAGGTGGTGTTGGTAGTCCAGGTGGTTATCCGGCACCACCGCGGCCGCCATCTTCTTCGGCTTCCTCCACGGCCAACACTCCTCCGGCAGCGGGTGGTGCGACTGCTGCAGCAGGCGGACAACAGCAGAGCGGGACCTTGCAGATAAAGCAGGCACAACAATTGCACATCTCACAGCCTATGACTGGACATCACGGATTACAGGTAGGATTTTTTCATGAAATTGAATTATAGGGAAATTTGAAGTAATTGTGATGTTTTTAGGCGCATTGATGTTTTAATGAATTCAAGCATCTATCCTTCATCATCATATCACCTGATTTTTATAGAACATTATTTGTAAGAGTTATATTGCTCATAATAAATGCCAAATACTCGATGTGCCAAACAACAATTTAAATACCTAATTTTTAAATTGCAATCGATATGGAGCGATGTCAACATGTGGATCTGAGTGTGAACTAGTACGAATTTCTATAACAACTTTAATGAAAAAATGATCAAATACATTTTATGGTATTTTCAACGAAATATTTACTACGTACAAGTTTTATATAACTAATTACTTAAGATTTAATATTGAAGATTTTTATATTTTATATTATATATGAATATTTTGATTAACTGATGAAAATAGTAGTTTTGTGATGATGAATATAAATGGTGAAGTGTTTCGGATTTAACTTCTGTTCATCCTTCTGAATTGGTTACTTGTGAATCAAATAAGATATATCTATGTCAGATTACGTACGGTTCATACTTATTATAATAGTTTTAAATTGTTTGTCTAGTTCAATATTATGAAATTTTGTATTTGGCCGCACAGCTCTGTTCTTCTTAAGACGTACCAGAAAATTTCTAAGAAGTTAACTTATGAATATTCTACAATAAAATGGTAATGTTGTGAAATCGTTCGTAAATACTATTGAATGATTTGAATTTTAAATTTCACTGATTTGCGCTCGTTTTGTTGTTTTACGTATGTTCTATATATCGCAGTATTACGAATAAAACAATTGATGAAACTGATAAAATTATACACACTCACAAATTTATTTATGTCGGATTTTAGTTTATAGAAGTGGGATTAATTAACTTCTCGAGGTAGAAGAAATCCGATTTGTTAATTTTATGTTTTCTCGAAGTTCCATGTCATTCTTGAGCGATTGAGACCAATGTTAGAAAAAAGTATGTGTGTATGTGAGCATATTTTTCTATTTTTCGTGCAGTATTTTCATAAGCGACATTCGGACCAATTTCAAAAATTTTAAAATTTAGGGATTTGTGTTGATTAGTTTTGCGCAATGATCGACTAAGCCGTTTCTTTGCAGTTAGCATAAAAGTGCTTTTTTGTAATCGTTTTCGCATAGTTTTTACTGTCTCAACTTTATGGATTTGTTTATTGTTCACGGAAATTAATTAATAATTATCTAAATAGATTCTTTAGATTTGTGTCACCTAGCTGAAGTGTACAAAACTTTTCTATAGTGGTATAACAAAATGTTACTAAAATATTAGTTTAAATGGTTAAATAATATAAAGCACTACGCATCTGATATACGTAATCGTACCACTATTTTCTTATACCAGATGCTTAATATTTCACAAAATAGTTTAAGTTTAAAAAAAATGTTTCATTGGTTTTGATGAAATTCAACATGTCGATAAAGTTTATGCACACTAAATAGTTCTACGAAAATTGATTGAATTATATAAATTCATTAAAATTTAGAATAATGGGCGCTTTCAGGACATACAACGTTACAGATATTATGAACGTATTTGGGAGATATCAATTGGAAAATGCAATGTTTAGTTTTAAGTGAAAGTGGAAACTTTAATTTCAAAATAAACCGTTAAACATATTAACTAAATAGTTAAATCTCAATTTGTCCGAGAATATTTCAAACAATCAATTTCCGATATGTGTAATAAGTCAAGTATTACACATATCGGAAAGTTCTTGCAACTGGCAGAATGCCACCTACACTATTTGGTTATAGTATTTTTTTTCAAAGTTTTGTGTTCTTGTTTTAATACTGAGCAATGTTAAATAAATAATTTATAATTAATATAAAAATTAATAATTTAAATATTTGTTATTTTTCAATTCGATAATTTGGCTGAAAAATATTCAAGATATTATATAAATATCCATTTTATATTATATGCATAAAAATGTTTAGTTTTTTATATTATTATATTGATATTATATATTCCAAATCCGCCGACGGATTTCTTGTTTAACTTCCCGTAGGGTAAGTTACAGTAATTGCAAAAATCGAAAATGGATTTTTTTTGCATATCTTTACGTTTCAGAGGTTTCTGAACATTTTGGCGGATACAAGTTTTTGTCGACGATTTTGAGAATGCGAATTAACCGATTTGAATGATTCAAAAAGCAATTTCTATAGATGGGGAAACGTGCTGATTAATTTTTGGCAGGTTCAACCGTTTGGCCGAAAATGGCAATTTAGATTTTGAAAGAACGAAGTGTCCAATTTTAATGATTCAAAAACATTTTATTTCTATTGACAAAGTGAAGAACTGATTACATTTTTAGAAACGCTGGTCCAGCCGTTTCGGATATCTAATCAAAAAAGTAAAAAAAGATGCCTTTTGCTGCTACATATGCACATCAAACTATAGAATATATTATAGAGATTTTAATAATACGAACAATTTTTGTTTACATTTTTATGGGTTCCGTATCAATGTTTATTCGTTAGACAACCGCGCGGCGCTTACGCGGTTAGGTATTTTGTCTATAAAACAGATACGCAGCGCGATTGCTTTGAAAAAAGTTCAAAATTTTCAAAAAAAGTCAAATTTTTCAAAAGTCATTTTTATCAAAAAGTTCTCAAACATCTCATTTTTTCAGTTTTCAAAAAATTTTGAAGCTATTTAAAAATTTAATTTTTGTTACGGGAAGTTCCAGCAGTTTGCCTTAAGGCACGGTGCCATGCACCACTTGTTCAATTTTCAAACGTGACAAATTAATTATGTAAATGACGTTCAACAGTTTTGAAAAAATAAAGATTATTTGAGTAAGCTATCGCGAGGGATTATTCCAACCCTATATAAATCCAGCATATATATTTCAATAATGCGTTGGCTTTGGCGCGCTTTTTGCCGCGCACCCTATTCCGAGTGGAATCTTTTACGTGAATCAGTCATTGCATCCCTCTGCTCACCGTCCGTAGCATCGCGTCGGCTCGGCTCTGACATGGTTGTACGCACGTACGACCGTACGACTCGACGAGTGCGATATGCCGACGATAATGGGATAGCGTTGGGGTAATTTACTCAAATTATTAAAGCAAATTTATAAAGTAAGAAATTAATAACTTGTCAATTTTATAGTATATTAAAAGCCATTCAATTATTATTGGAATTTCCAAAGCTAAATCTGTTGTATGCATAATACAATACGAGCTCGATTAACCGGACTAATTGTTGTTAATAGGCATCCGGATAATCAAAAATCCGGATAATCCAATGAATAAAGAATAATGATGTGTATTTATCAAAAACAACAAATACTTGCATATATATCAACGAAAATCAATATTTAATAAGAAATTAACATCCTTATGTACATATATATATTCTCAAATTATATTACTTACATTTTTACGCAAAATTTAATACAAATTCTTTGACTTTTCAATTCTTCCATTGTAAAAATCGCCGAGCTCAGAAAAACACGTCGAACCTTAGCGACTACCACAGACAAAGTAAACAGTGAATATAGCTGAAAATTTCATCATACTTTAGGGGCATGTATACCAACACAATAAAAAAAAAATTTTGACAATCAGACACTCCAGACCCGCGAATTTTAATTATTAGTAATTCCGGGTACTTTTTGAACACACCTCGTATACACCTCGTATACTAAACTGCAGCATAAATCGTGCAAAAATTCGAATTGTAAGTATGTATGTACATACATATAACTCTGTCGCTGTTGGTAGTCCGAATAATCGCGAATCCATATAACTGAGGTCCAGATTATCGAGGTTCTACTGTACTTATTATGAAATTTCTTTATTAAAAAGATGGCAGCCGTTTCGAACATACGGGTCCGAAGAAGGGTCAAAAATGGCAATTCAGTTTTTGAGAGAACGGAGCGATCGTATTGAATGATTCAAAAAACATTTTACTTGCATTGTCGGGATAAAGATTTTTTTATACACGTAGTTTTTACAGCAATCAGAACTATTATATGTTCTAGCATCTGTAAAGAGCGCTGCTTATTACTAAGTCTTTGTTAATACATTGATTAACCCTATTTTATCTGAGATATATTTAACTACCCCAATGGATTAAGTTATAGTAATCGCCAAAAAATCGCTAATGAAAATTTTTATATCTCTTTACGTTTCAAAGGTTTCTGATGTTGGCATACCTTAGAAAAAATGGATGCATGTCTGTGTGTGTGTGTGAGAACGTATGCATGTAAGATTTCGAGAACAAAGATCAATCGATTTGAATGATTCAAAAATTCGATTCGATTTTGGCAAAGGCAGGTCTAGCCGTTCCAAGGATACGGGATAAAAAGTGCTAAAAATGGTACAATATTTCAGTTTTTGAGAGAACGGAGCGTCCGATTTGAATGATTCAATAACATTTTACTTACACAAAATGAAAAACTGTTGAAATTTTTGGGAAGCCAGCCTTTGCGGAGATCCAATCAAAAAACTAGTGGGGTGGGTGGCATCGTGCCTTAAGGCAAATTGCTGGAACTTCCCGTACCGTAACGAAATGTTCGAGGAATACTGAATGTTTTCAAATAGATTATTATAAATATTGTAACATTGTCTAATATTTATAAGAATTATATAAACTGAATTGCAAAGTTGAAATTATTTGTTTAAAGTATATTAGAACTATAGTCAGAATTAAAAATAAAATCTGAATTATTTTCGATATACAAAAAATTAAAAAAAAAAAATTGAAACAAAAATTTTTTTTTCCAAAATCAATAATTTTGTTAAGACAAGCAGAAAGTTCTTTGAATCATTCAAATCGGACGCTTAGTTCTCTCAAAAACTGCCATTTTTTACATATTTAGCTCCGTATCTTCGAAATGGCCGGGCCTGCCTTTGCCAAAAACTAATAAACATTTCTCCCAATCATTACTAATCGAATGTTTTTTAGATCATTCAAATCGGATACTCCGTTCTCTCAAAAAGTCGATT